TTGACTATTCGATTCTTGTTATCACTGCAGCAAAGGGAGGAACATTGTTTTCCTCTGCAATGTGCCTACTCCTCTACAAAATGACTAAAATGAATCAGGAAGTTTGGCATTTTCCATTCACTTCTAGGGGATGGAGGACCAAGAGCTGTGTACCTCTGTATACATGTAGTACATTATGGCCTCAAGGCAAAGTAAAACTCACATATTCTACCTTTTCTAAGAGCCATTCTGTCACACTACCTTGGTGTGTTTCATGTAACCTCAAAATGCCTGGGCAAAGTTACCTGATTTCTTTTTGCAGCTGTAGATAGACTGAAACTATGTTCTGTGCTATGGAGCTGTGGAATTTGTCCTACAGCTTATTATATCCTGATGAGCCATAATCTTCTAATTCAGTTGAGGAGTGAATTGCATGTTGGGGTCATGTAGGCTGGAATAAAATATGTGTAGTGACTCTGCAAGAATGGATTAATTCTTGAGACCATCCAATAAGAGGAGATGTAGGTTCTAGTCCAGGACTGCGGAGCAGAGCAGAATAAAGCGTCCCACTTCCTGATTGTGGTCCATGTCCCTGCAACATGTGTTCCTAATGTGGAATGGCAATGCTTCTATGCCCAGAAGACCCAGAAGAGTGGATTTAAATGAGTGTTTTCTTTGAAGGGTGTGCAGCTATTTCTAGGTAGCATTAAAGTGCCATGTTGACACATATCATGTTGAAGTTCAATCTGAACCTGACATGTGAAATTCACTCTCTTCCTTCTTCAACCCAGTAAAGTTAAAGCCAGTATTATTATGATATTATGCATCTGTTTTATTCTGTCTGCTGATGTGTCACAGAGCAAAGTGCTAAAGTGTTAGCGATACATGATCATGGAACCAAATATGTATTTTTTGTTTTTCAGGTGTCATTACAATGTACATCAGGTATTTATTGATAGAGAAGCAAAATGAGTTGTCACACTTCGTTAGGTCTTCATGCAACATGTTTGCCTTATGCATTGGGTTGATGGGCTGCACTGGAATGGGCATAGTTGCAACTTTTCAGGTATGACTGCAAATTTCATATCGTAAAAGAAAGTAAAGTTATTTTAGCAGTTAAAATTTCAATTAGATACAAGAAATAAACATTATCCCAATGTGGATACTTGGCAGATGGAGCAAGCATGCCTTTTTTGCTCCTACCTTCTTCCAGCAGCTTTGAAGAGACAGATTTGTTTTCCCCCTATATAATAGATTTTTTGCTTGTACAGTTATGTCAGTGAGGGGTATAGTGTGCTTGTCTTGTAACGGGTCTGTACTATAAACCAACTTCCTACAAATGTTTTTGCTGCAAAAGTTTTACTAGGAAAATTTGACTGTAGAAACTTTGCTATTCAAATTTAGTTTGCTTGCAGTCACGTAGGGCAAAATAAGTTAGACTAACAAAAGCACCTGCACTTTTTTCCTGAATGATGGCACACTCTCTAGCAGCATTTTCTGCAGAATAAAGTACACTTATATGGCAGGTTATAACACTGAGCACGATACCAGCCTGTTGTTCTGAGTCTGTAGGAAATGGCATAACAGCATGTTCAGTCTCTTCATCGAGAAGGGGGAATAGAATTTAAAAGATCATGTGAATGTAATCACCATTACAAGGCAAAGAAAACAGTGACCTCCAGGCAGGAAAGATGGTGAAATAGGTAATGAAAAGGTACAGATATGTTTTCATGAGTCAAGAAAATAGATGTATAGTAGGTCAGTTCATAGCACCTGTTTGGTTATGCTCTGCTAACACAAAGGAGCTTTGAAGCTAAATTACCTGGCTGATATTGGATTCCAAGGTGGCATAACTTTGGTTTTGTAAAAGTTTAAACAGTGTTTAGAATGTAGTAATTTCTCTGGAACTTTCATCTCTTTTGCTACTGGATATTCTACTTGTTTTTTGTTAGAAAAGAGAGACTCTTCCTCAGGCAGGATATTACAGAAATACAGGCCACATAAAGTGACACTGAATTCTATACACACTTTCACCTCTTGTGGAACTTGAGTAAAAGTGACTGATGATGTGCTGAACAATTCTAGACACTGTCAGTGTAATCAAGAGATTATTTTAGGCAACACTTTTTTTGTATATATATAACTAATTTTCTGCTGACTTATTTCCTGGAGCCTCGTGAGTGGCCACTCGAGGGTGGGGGACCGTGCTTTAGCAGTCACTATTTAGAAGAGCTCCCTTGAAACTTTGCCATTAGAGTTTCGCCACATGAATGCAGATTAGAATCTCAATGTGGGGTTAAAATCTTTGGCAGGGTAAAGGGAAGAAGGCAGTATAAGAATTTTTTAGGAAAACACAAGCCAGTTTCTGTAGTGGAAACATTAATTGGTAAGAGACAGCTGTTGAACAGAACTAAAATTGGTGAGACACTGGCACAGGTTGCCCAGGGAGGCTGTGGCTGCCACAACCCTGGCAGTGTTCCAAGCCAGGTTGGATGAAGCCTTGAGCAACCTGCTCTGGTGGGAGGTCTCCCTGCCCAGGGCAGGGGAGTGGGACTGGATCATGTCTAAGGTCCATTGCAACCCCTAAAATTCTATGAAAATTGCTGTACAGTTTTATGTGAACATGGCAAAGGAGTTTGACCTTGGCTTTCTTTCCTGTGTAGACTGTTGCGAAAAAGAAATGTGTCCCACTGCTTGTATGTGCCCAGCATAATGTGACTGCTGTCTTCTCACTGATTCCTCCCACTGCTCAGATAGTAGCAGCTAACCACAGTGCTGATTCTCTTTCCAGGAGCTGGCAGTTCCCAGTGTCCATGACATAGGCGCTTTGGTGGCCTTTGGCTCGGGTGTTGTATACATTACACTTCAGTCTATAATCTCTTACAAGTCCTGTCCACGATGGAACACCTACTTTGTGTGCCACATAAGGATGACTATATCTGTAATATCATGCATTGCTTTCATTCCCAGTATCCTTTATGGTGTATCCCATGGTTTTCCCTTTATGGGTTCATGATTTTCCTTATAAGTAAAATCATTGTTGATAAAGAATGAAAATGAGGTTACACTCTTTGCTTAGGGCTGTCTGATGTATATAATGTAGCATATTGAGACACTATGGCATAAAGATGTTCTGGACCCCTCAGTTCAGGAGGGATATTGAAGTGCTGGAGCAGGTCCAGAGAAGAGCAACAAGGCTGGTGAAGGGACTCAAGCACAAGTGCCATGAGGAGAGGCTGAGGGAGTTGGGGTTGTTTAGCTTGGAGAAGAGGAGGCTCAGGGGAGACCTTCTCACCCTCTACAACTCCCTGAAAGGAGGTTGGAGTCAGGTGGGGGTTGGTCTCTTCTCCCAGGCAACCAGCAGGAGGACAAGAGGGCACAGACTCAAGCTCTGCCAGGGGAGGGTTAGGTTGGATATTAGGAAGATATTTTTTCCAGAGAGGGTGATCAGGCATTGGAATGTGCTGCCCGGGGAGGTGGTGGATTCACCATCCCTGGATGTTTTCAAGCTGAGACTGGATGTGGCACTTAGTGCCATGGTCTAGTGACCATGGTAGGGTTGGACTTGATGATCTTGGGGGTCTTTTCCAACCTGGTTGCTTCTATGATTCTATGATGAGTTTTGGGGTCTTCTGAAAAGCTTTATCTCTTATTTCAGTGGTCTATTTAAAAGTAATGCCTCAGAGTTCTTAACAGGATCATACAGTAATAAAACTAGACCAACTTTCCGACCTTCTTCTGTTAAAGGGCAGTAGGGGGAAGGGCCTGTGAAAAAGGGGGCACTGCTTCTACAGTGAACCGAACACACAGGCATAGAAATGCAGGTGGCATACACAGGTTTTCCTTCGAGCCTAAGCAGATGACTTTGATCACGGCTTCATTAGATGCTTCCCCTAGAGACACACTCAACACACTTAGTGGCTTTTCCCACAGCTTTTCTGGTGTTAGAGTCATCGCATTGATTTGTTTGTCTTTGGGGGATCTGCCAGTGTTGAAAACTGGGCACATCAGTCAGCCAGTTACAGCCTGCTTTTGGTTTCAGCAGCTGTGAAAGGGCTTTTCTAGAAGGCCTCAGTACCCAGAAGAAGTTCTACAAATATACCAAGGCACCTACTGTGAACCGGTGGAAACCAACATGGTTCCCCTTCCAACAGTGCAGGACTCTGCTCCCACAGTTCTTGACCATAAATATCATCTCACTTTTGGAGTGTTTCCCCTTACTATTTGTAGTTTGAAAGAAACCACAGAAACCTTTCATTTGTGCAGAGATGTGCTTGATTGCTGCTATCAGCTGATCCCTTTAAATAATATGTTTCATTTACTTGTTTGCTTAATATCTTGGTTTGCTGTTCTGGTTGTTCAGGATCTCCTGTGCCACAGAAGGGAAAGATGGGGTTGGGTTTTTTGCCAGCAGACATTTTCACTATGACTCACTAAAATTTCATAGTTTCCTTAACACTGTTTTTCCCAGTGATTGTGTTTGCTTCACAAATTTCCATGACAAAAATTGATTGGACTCCAGGTGAAAAGGTAAAATCTTATTAGGTTGCCAATTTATCCTTTATCATATTATTTGGGAACTGGTGTTATATTGATCTGAAAGTGTCCAGCATTGCAAACACTTCAGAGAGTCGATTCTGAAGTTAATAAAACCGAACTTGGGAAATGGACTTCAACCAAACAGTGGCAACATGAGATAAATCTTTACAAGTTAGACAATCTTAGTAATACCTTGAGAGTTTGGGTTTTTTCACTTGAGATGCAAATATGAGAAGATACTTTTGCTGAAACAGGTGGTTCATTGATGGTATCATATTATGTAGGTTTTCTGTGCCAGTCTACTTAAAACCGAAAGTCTTGTCAGGAACTGCCCTACAAGGGTAGCTCTTCACTTTGAAACCTCCAGAGAATTTGGAATTGGTAGTACTGCTGAATTCAGTGGCTCAGAGTGGAAGCTTTGAATATGGACGCTTTGGTATTCTTCACCTAAGAACTAAATTTTTTCAGGTTCAAATTATATCCAAACTATGTTTTGATCATGTGCTAACTGTAGTTTTTTTGTACTCTTCTTGATGTTACTGCATAAGATGTTCCTTAATGGCACACATGCAACCTCAGCAAATGTACTCAGCAGTCTGTAAAAACTAAACCTGAATTGGCTTTTATACAACAGGGTATTAGGATGATCACAGGTTGGAAGGGACCACAATGGTCATCTGGTCCCACCTCCCTGTTCCAGCAGGGCCATCCCAGAGCACATGGCTCAGGATTGTGTCCAGAGGGATCTGGAAGACCTCCAGTAAGGAGAATCCAAGACCTCTCTGGGCAATCTGTTCAGCACTCAGAGACTGCATGGGAAAGAAGTTCTTCGTTGTGTTCAGGTGGAACTTCCTGTGCATCAGTTTTTGCTGTTCCCTCTTGTTTTATTGGTTTCCCCCACTGAACAGAGTCTGATTATCCTCTTAGAATATTTGTTGAATTTACAGAAGGAAATGTCTATACCATATCACATGTATTTTGTTTAACTGTTTGATCTGAAAACTTGTTTGTCTCATCCATCAGGATTACACTTACCATTTTCTGAGTGCAGTCTGTGAATGGACAGTGGCCTTTGGTTTTATCTTCTTCTTTTTAACATTCATTAGAGATTTTCAGGTTGGTATTGACATATTTCAGCGGTAACAAAGTGCTATGAATTGTATAACAACAAATGCAAGAGAAAATTACCATTCATTACCTCAGCTAGAGACACCAAAGCTATACAGAAACAGATTTTACCTTGCACAGAACTGATTTCTGTCTACTGAATGAATATTTTTCCCCTTGGTTTTAAAACCTAAACTTCAGTTTAATGGGTGTTTGGTCTTGACAATTATTCAGTAAATGAATATACTCTACTTATTCACCAATGTTTTTGTAGAAAGAAATCCTCTAAATGTGACATAAAACCAAAATAAATGATGCAACTAAACCTGCATTTCTTTCTACCTGAGGGATTTTGTGTAATAATCCAATGCATTTCAGCCATAGATGTTTCCTTTCTTTTCAAAAATTGCACATTTTGCTATACATTCCCTCACAGTGCAGAGAATGTCAGATACTTTGGGGAAAAGTATTGCCATAAAAACCTCCAAAAGTCAGACCCTTCCCTTGGAGACACTTGCTGAACAAAGCTGTAGGTCTCAAAATACTTACCAACAATCCTTAGCTGGTAATTCTGCTTCAGATCACAGATCCCGAAGTATATATAAATATTGTGAACATAATAAATAAGAGAAAGTGGTGGAATTAAACTCAGTGGACATGCAGATATTTTAAATTACGGCTCTAAAATCACATGAGACCTTCTGTTTGAGTTTGGCAATGATGGAAAGATTTGTCCTCTTTTTGTCTTTACCAATGCTCACAGAAAGCCAAACTATGAGCTCAGAAAAGTCCCACCAGACTCTAAGAAATATGAGCAATGTTTTTGTTTAGATCTCCCACAATCTGTATTTCACTTAAACACTTTCTTGTTTTGTTCTATCATCTTGTACTTTATACCATAGAACTGTCAAATGAATTCATCTTACGTTGATCTTGTTTCATTTTTCTTTTAGAGATTTTCTTTAAGGATATCAACAGAAATACATGAAGACTCCTGATAGTGAAAACAAAAATGTTTTCTATCTATGAATGTTCTAGGTTTCTTTTAATTAGAGAAGATGTTGCAGAGGGATAGGGATTGATAAGGTTGTGCTAAGAGTCCATGTCATGAACTCTGCAGCATCTAGAGCAGCATCCACTAGAAGACTTTTAAAACTCACAGCAATGTTCCTGCTGCCTTTTTGCAACGTTTTGTAACTTTTATACTGTTTGATATATTGAATATCCTGTAATAGAAGCAATCTGTAGAAGCACTGGAAAGTCATTCAAGGACTTGATCTCCTCAGCTCTTCCCTTTTGGACACATCCAGACTTTGAAACTTTCTATGGTCTGATTAGTAACACCAGTTGACTTGAGAAAGGACATTTTGCAAACAGTTAGGAAAGTCTAAAGGAAATGGAAATCATGAAGGCAATTAGGCTGCAAGGGCTGTAGAAGATGGTTGCCCAAGGATGTGCTAGCGGCCCCGACCCTGGCAGTACTCAAGGCCAGGCTGGATGAGACTTTGAGCAACCTGATCCAGTGAGGAGGTGTCCCTGCCCAGGGCAGGGGGTTGGGACTAGATGATCTGTAAGGTCCATTCCAACCCCTAAATTCTATGATTCCAAGTGAATGTCTCTGTCTTTGAAGTTAGTAGATGGCAACACTATGCTACATGTTTCTGGTGCTAGGCACTGTATACCAACACAAATCCTAGAAGTTTACACTCTATTGCTTGAAAAATGTTTTCTAATCATCACTGCAATACAAGTTATCAAAGTCTACCCCTTTTTCCCTGTGATGCACTGCTGGCCATAGGAAATTTACAAAGGAAGTGGGAATAGAAAGGAAATTTACATCAATGCACAAGAGAGTAAAGAGAAATCTTATTGCAATTGGGTTTACACAAAGCAGAAGTTTCCAGTCTGTGTTTTAACCTACAGTGATGGAGTGAAGAAGGTCTCCAAAAAGTCTTTGGGAGTGAATGGGACACAAAAGAGGCACCAGTAGTTTTCAGGAGTTTGGTCATGTGTGAGTATTATATATATAAAACTGAAGGAAAACCTAAACCTGGAGAGAATCTGTAGTGAAGCTATGGCATATTTGCTGCTATAGACTTAATTCTGTAGTGACAGACTTGGAAAGGACCTGACTGAGAATCAGATAGTACAAGTATCTGCAGGCAAAAGGTTCTTCTGTGGACTGAGTCATGACCTCCATTTGGTGCCTTCACCACTTGGGTGTCAGTGAAGTTCTCTGAAAATTCAATTTGCCCTCCTAGGTCACAGTTGATGCAGAAATGTTGATGATTTTCAGTTGCTAATTTCCCAAGTGAGAAAACAAATGTGTATTTTGGAGAGTTATGTCTCAAGACTAGTCATCCATTGATGTTTCCTTTATGTGTACTTTAAACTGTATTAAATTCAGCTGTTTCACAACTTCAAGAGTCAATGTTTTCTTTATAAGTTCTAGCAAATAAAGAGTAAAAAATGTTTTTCACTTGTGGATTTGCTTTCCCCAGTATTCAGGTTATCTTGCAGGTGTTCATACATAAAATCAGGTTAAAAATCACATCCAGCACTGACTAAATGAAGGATCTATGTCCTCCTGATTAGGTGTCCTGCAAGGGATACACATTCTTTCAAGTGAAGGTCAGGAATACTCAGAAGAAAATGTCTATCAACCATAAAAAGCAACATCCTGTTATTTTGAAGGCAGCATAAGAAAAGGTCATATTTCTTAGTTGTTATTTCAAATGATACCAGATTTGAAAGCACAGATTTACTAAGCCCTTTACATGGATAAAGGAAGTTACCTTAACTTCCTTTACTGTGTTTTTAAAGTGAACTAGCATTACTGAACTAGCATTACTGTGTTTTTAAAGTGAATCCAAGTACACTCAAACAGGAGGAGAATTATTGCATTGTTCTGATTTAGGCAGGAAATCACCACAAAAATTTTTGCAAGTTTCAATGTAAGAGAACACCAAAGAAACATTAAAACATTGCCCCAGTAAAAGTATTCTGAAAAGTGTTCATGGTCAGATAATCACTTAGTCTTCTGTCCTCCTCAAACGAATCCTGTCCAGCCTGTCAACCTTTGCACTGTCTTAAAGGGAGAAAAACAATGTTCAAAGTGGCTGAATCAAGATAGTCTTTTGTGCTGAAATCAGTGGGTCAGTCCAAGTACTGAAGAACCAGTGAATAAAATCCTTCCCATTTTTCTGAGCTTTACCATGATACACTTCTATGAGTTACATCCATGACCAAAACAATGCAGCACCAACAGTGGGACTTATATCCAGTTTGTGAGGCTGAACACACTGACCTGCAGCCACATGCAGGTAGACAATGGATTGTTTGCTTCTGATTCGTCTAGTGAACCACTGAAAACACTTCCTTTGATCATTCTCTGCCTCCAGTCAGATTTGCATTCAAAAGTTGAAGTATTTTTTTCAGTTGAGCTGTGAGTTGACAAGTTGCAAGCACTTGCAAGTAAGAACCATTCTAGCAAGATGCACCATTTCAGCTGTGGATCATCCATGTCAGGTAATGCTCTGCAATTGTTTACAAGCAAGTGATCTCTATGGGTTAGCACAGATAATGTCACAGGACATTTCTGTTGCTTTGCCACAGGCCTTTTTCTGTATTTTCGCATCTCTTAGCAACAAGAAATAGCTCCTTTTTCCTGGAAGCTATGCTAGAAATACTTTCATCGTCTGCTCTGCATGATGTTTTCTGTTTGTCAGCCCATCAGGAGTGATTGAGAAATTCCTTGTGCATAAACTACAGTAAATCACATGATAGTTACTGCTATTTTTAGTGGTTGTGTTAAATCATTCTACCACTTCCAAAAGTGCAAAGCCTCCTTTTTATAGGTTGTGCAGCTTGACCTGCTGATGAGATATCACTGTTGTGGTCTCTGTCACAGTTCCAAATCCTGTAAGCATGAAACTCAATCAGCTCAAAATACCTAAACCCTTTGTCTAGGACACTGTTACTTGCACTGCTTTTCCTTCCCATGTACATTCAGCCAGTGATGATCATCTATTGCATCTTTGGTTTTCCACATAAGGGTTTCAGAATCTTTATTTCTGATCTGGTCTGTTTGCTGTGGCAGCAGATATCATAGAATTTAAGGGTTGGAATGGACCTTACAGATCATCTACTCCCCCCCCTCTGCCATGGGCAGGGACACCTCCTCACTAGATCAGGTTGCTTAAGGCTTCATCCAGCCTGGTCTTGAACACTGCCAGGGTTGGGGCATTTGTCTTCTCAAGTAACCATTCCATGTGATGGGCCCTGCTCTCCTGGAGGTGCTGGACACCTCGTGCCCATGGGAAGCAGTGAATTAACTCCTAGTTTTGCTTTGCTTGTGTCCGTAGCGTTTGCATTCCCTATTAACCTGTCTTTATCTCAACCCATGAGTTTTATGGCTTTTATGCTTCCCATTCTCTCCTCCATCCCACTGGTGGGGAAGTGAGAGAGCAGCTGTGTGGAGCTTGGCTGCTACCTGGGCTTAAACCATGATACTACATTATGTCAGATTTCTCCCAGATAAAGGGGCATTAGCTCAGCTTCCAAGGAAACAAACATTATCACCCTTTAAAATCCAAGCACAATGCTTGGATTTTAAATGTTCACCATTTCTTGGAGGTGAACAGCTATTCCAGCTTCCTCCAGAGATAATGTTTCTAGTGGCCATTGTAAACCAATAGGAACAGTTCACCAACCCTAAACTCTCTGCAGTCTTCAAGCAGAGGCTCTACAGCCTGAGGGCTTGTGAAAATGTGGTGTCAAGATCAAGGCTAAGACTGGATATACAGAGCAGTTTACAATCCCAAGCACTTGAGTGTCTTTACAAACTTCATAGGGGAATGTCCAACATTTACTGACCTATAGTAGTATAGTCGGCTTGAAACTTTTGCGACCAGTATAAATACCACGCAATAAATCCCTTGCTATCAGTATTATTCTGCTACTGTCAGACAGGAACTGCAATGATAGGACAGGGGGTAATGGGTTCAAATTGAAGGAGGGAAAGTCTAGGTTAGATATTAGAAAGAAGTTTTTTCCTGTGAGGGTGGTGAGACACTGGCACAGGTTGCCCAGGGAGGCTGTGGCTGCCCCAACCCTGGAAGTGTTCACAGCCAGGTTGGATGAAGCCTTGAGCAACCTGTTCTGGTGGGAGGTGTCCCTGCCCAGGGCAGGGGGTTGGAGCTGAATGATCTGTAAGGTCCATTCCAAGCCCTAAATTCTATGATTCTCTTATTTTGTAGAAAATCAGCAGTGATTTAAAGAGCTTTGCCTACATTTTGTCACTGGCACTGTAATGCAGAAAGAGCATTTTTCACATCTTCAGAAGAAAAAAAGGCAGCTCCGAAGTGTGGTGTCTGTATTTTTCCCCGTAGACAATAGATGGCACTACCAGACCACATGATTCGGGTTCATTGCCCACGTTTGGGCTAGCAAGTACAATAGGTTTGTAGGTAGCTGTGACTGGACTTAATAGTCGTCTGGAGACCTAGTTAAATGATTTGTTTTTATTTTGCCTTTGTGGAAAACAAGTCAGATCTAAGTTTCCTTGCCATCTCTTCCTGCCTGGGAGTAAATATGTTTTGCTACTGCAAAATGTGGTTTCATAGCAACTTCAATTCCAAATTTGTCAAAGTCAAAGAAGCCGCTTGCTCCACTTAGCACTGGCACAAGCTGCGATCTAGTTGTCCTTATTCAGCCACTTATTCTGGGAATTTTTCCTACTCTTACTACAAAGAAGGTACATTTTCCTCAGTTGCTTCAACAGAATTCTGTCAGTTTGCAATGGAGCATCAGAAGATAATATAGACCTTATTTTCATGAGACAACAGTCTGAAAAGAAGATTTTAACATCTGAAAATTGCAGCCACTTTGCACCCAGTGAGAGAGACATGTCAGGCTGTAGAGCAAAATTTAAAGGCAGCTGCTGTATCTATTTAAAATGCACTTTTGTGTATCTATAATGTCCTTTTTTCAGTTATTTCCTTGAGTAACTAAAGTCAAGGTAATATTTTCTGTGTGACCACTGTTATTGAAGCACA